TTCTATCTACGTACCAAATTTGAGATCGATACCTCTTTTTTTCGCTAAGTTATAGCGAAAAAACTGTTCAAAATTGATTACGTCAAATTTTCAAACTCAATTTTTGGCAATTTTAGACCTCGTGGCGCAAAACAAAGACCACAGTTAGACTCCCCGTAACGAGCTGCATCGAATCAATACCCATTTTATGCAAAACTAGCAACTTTGAAATTTGACATTTTTGACCTGACCTTGACCTGACTTCCACCAGAAAGTGACCTAAACCGTACCTGATGATCTTATAATTAACACCATTCAGTTGGAAATTAAAAATTTGCCGTAAAACATGCACCGCACAACCTTAGTAAAGTTGGGTTCATGTGGTGACCCTTGGTGACCCTTGGTGACCTGACCTGTGACCTGACCTGGTATGACCAGTGACCTCTAATAGCAACATATGTACCAGACAACTGACGCCCTATCGCTGATTTTCGACAAAATGCGTTTTACTCGGTGTTATAGTGCTTTCCCTAGAAGACCCGTGAACGTTGACACATTTTATCTTTGACCTGACTTGTGACGTCATCGGTGACCCCGAGGTCAATGAAATTTGGTTTCCCTCGACAAATTTGACAGGGCTATCGAACGCCGTTTGAATTTTCCGGATCCGTCCAGTAGTTTCGGAGATACGGGGGGCAAAAAAATCCCCCCCCCCCTCGCGCGGAAGGTGGCTGGGAGGCCCACCACCTGCCGGGTTAACAACCAACTTCAAAATTTGACCTCACTTGACCTGACCTTGACCTGACCTCGACCTGAAATTCATCCAGATGTGGTCCATATCACTTATTGAGTGTGCCTATTGAATTCTATGAATAAAATGACCCATGAAACATGTGTCGCACATGTCCTTTTCTATATTTTGTTTTGGTGACCTGACCTGACCTGACGTTGACCTTGACCTTTAAATGATATTTTATGCAACGAATATTGTCTTGGTAGCCTAAGAACACGTTTTGGGCAATCAGTCTCCGTCCATTCTTCGGCAACTACGGTGCAAGGCCGATGCTGTAGAAACTTGCATTTTGTACCCTTGACCTGACCTTGACCTGACCTCTGACCTACTTAAGCAAAACAAATTGGGCTCTTAAGATCCGCCTTGTTGAGAGCTTTCGATTGCCGTTTTCCCCGTCTTTCTGCGACCATCGGTTCGGAAGTTAGACTGGGAGGCAGAATCTGCCCCCCCCCCTCCCCCAGCGGGGCGCGTATGGCTGAATAGCCCAGCGGGGTGCGGGCTAGGTGCGGGTGAACCATCGTCTTGTACAGCAGAGAAAGTGTCTTGGAGTCGATGTGGACGAAGCTGTGCTTGATCAGGCCGAGGATTATGTTGGCCTTGCCAATGGCGGTCACCGCATGCTCCCTGAATTTAAGCAGTCTGTCCATGTGGACTCCCAAGTCTCTTTCCGTGTCAACAGTCTTCAATGCAGCACCTTCGATCGTGTACTCCGCTCGCACGTTTTGGCTGCCCAGGTGAAGCACTGTGCACTTGGATGGGTTGAACGGCAGCTTCCACTTCCGAGACCAGGCCGCCGGGGCGTCCAAATCCTGCTGGAACCTTTTACGACCGATCTCGGTGCCCGCTCCGACGTACACCTTCGTATCATCAGCGAAGAGCTTGCATGCGCTCTCAACGCAGCCAGGTAGGTCGTTGACAAAAGCGATGAAGAGCACTGGTCCCAGAACTGTGCCCTGCGGGATACCGCTGCCGACTGCGGCCCAGTCCGAGAAGCTGCCGTTGACAGTGACCCTTTGCTTCCTCTCTGTCATGAATGAGCGAAGCCACTGGAGGAGGGGTCCCCTAATGTCCATGTCGTGGAGCTTCTGCAGAAGACGCAGGTGAGGCACCGAATCGAAGGCGCTTCGGAAGTCCAAGTAGGCGACGTCAACCGGCTCGCCCTCCTCCATCAGCCAAGTCCACTCCTCGAGTGTGCTGAGAAGCTGCGTTGCGCAGGAGCGCCCCGGGCGGAAGCCGTGCTGGCATTCACTTAGCTGGCCTGTCACTGTCATGTGCTCGAACAGGGCGTCACGCACGAGCAACTCCAACTTTTTCGCCGTCACGGACGTCAGGCTGACAGGACGGTAATTGGAAGGATCGCTGCGAGGTCCCTTTTTATAAATGGGGACAACTTGGCCTAGCTTCCAATCTCTTGGGACTCTTCTGTCTGCCAAGGAGTGGTTGAAGAGGTCTGCCAATGGACCACACAGGGGGGCAGCCAGCTCGCGCAATACCTTGGGATGGACCGCGTCAGGGCCTGGTGATGCTGCCGGGCGTAGGTCGCGGAGTTTACCCTCCACTTGCTCCGGCGTCACCCGCAGCTCCTCCAGCGTTGGACCTCCATACTGGGGATTCATAGCTGGAACGTCAGCCGGGTCTTCATCCCAGCAGTACACACTGCTGTAAGCTTCCGCCAGAGCCCTGGCTTTAGCTGCGTCCGTGCACGCCATATACCCATTCCCAGTGACGAGGTCGTCCACTCTTGTTCTGGTGGTCAGGCGGGAGTGCACATAACGCCAAAATGCCTTCGGGTTTTCCGGCAGGTTCTCCACCAGTTGTCGCTCAAAATTCCTGCGACGTCGTCTAACCAGTCCCTTCAGCTGGTTCCTGGTTCGAGAGAATCGGCAGTAGTCCAGGGTATCTTGGATAAGTAGGTATCTCTTCCACAAAAGGGATGCCGCGCTCGCAGATGCTGTCCAGGATTTCTTGAAACGCTCGGTAGTGTTGGTCAACAGTGCAGCCATCAGAGACAGGCCAGGTCGCCTCTCGCGCCATTTGAACCATCGCCACATAGTCGCCGTGGTGGAGGGCCGGTTTCAGTGTTGCCACTTGCTCGTCTTCAGCGTAACACCGCAGGGTGAACGGCAGGACAACGTGGTCGCTACTGCCGAGTGGCGGCTGGCTGCGGAGGTCGAGGACCATGTCTTCCTCGTTGGTCAGCACGAGGTCCAGGACGTGCGGCGTCTGTCCAGGGCGGTATCTCGTTGGGGATAGCACGTGTTGAGTGAGGTAGTGGTCCCTAAAAAGTTAAAGAAGCTCATGCGCCCAATGTCCAGTTGGTCGCATGTTGGAGATGGTTGTAGTAGCCATGAGAACAGACCTATCAAGGGCTGAGGAGTCTTACTGCTAGCAACACCCCATGATGACTACTCACTAATTTTAATGTCATCATAGCTGTTTGCTTTTTTTCTAGTCCGGCTTTGAATGAGGCTGCTGATGTAAGGGCTCTGTTTCACACCGTCAGAAAATCCTCCCAGTGTGACATCACCCCTCTGGTCACGTCGCAAACCTGGTTTGGCAAAATATTTTGTGAAACAGTAAACACTGGCAAAATATTCTGCAGAGCAGCAAAACACGGCAATCACCTACCTAATTACATCCCTGCAAGGAAGAAACACGCCACAACTCAATCGCTTGGTGCTCCGCATTGAGAAGCAAAATAAGCAGACTCACGAAAAGCTGTCATGCCATTCTGCATCAAAATATTCTGCCAAGATGTTATATGTTGGAAGCTCTCTGCCCTGCTCTGCCTACTGATGCCTACTGTGCATGCATCATGGAATAGTATTACATCATGCCTACATGTTTCGTGTTTAAGGACACAGAAGGAGACACATGGTCACAGAAGGACACAGAAGGACACACATGGTCAGAGAAGGACACACATGTTGAAGGACACACATGGTCTTTGTCAATTTACTACTAGAATCCTGCAATATGACTGGAGCAGTGTGAATTTGTGGAATGAAATTATGCCAATAGTAAATGCTCAGGAATAAAGCCAAAGCAGTTTGATATTATCTGGCTCTGGCTCCCAGCTCCCTGACACATCTGGGTGCAAAACCTTTGTTTTAATCTTCTGCTGTTATTGTCTATCTCTCATAGAACTTAAAAGTCTATTCAACATTATATTGTATGCCATTTCTAGTAAGTTACTGGTATTTATTACTTTTTGTCAGTTTCAGAGGGTACCCATGAGAGATCCTACGCTCAGCTGTTGAATAGAAAATCATGGAAGGGGCATCCAACTGATAATATGATCCTGTTTATGTATATATATACAGGTTTACTTTATTTTTGCATTTCTGAATATGATCCTGTTTATGTATATATATACAGGTTTACTTTATTTTTGGCATTTCTGGTGCCAATCACCTGATTCCTTTTAGACCTGCTGCATTGACCAGCTGTAGTCCATGCCTTGGAGCTGTGCGGTGTCCCCGAGCCCGACACTGGCGGTGTCCCCGAGCCCGACACTGGCGGTGTCCCCGAGCCCGAGCCCGACACTGGCGGTGTCCCCGAGCCCGAGCCCGACACTGGCGGTGTCCCCGAGCCCGACACTGGCGGTTTCCCCGATCCCGACACTGGCGGTGTCCCCGAGCCCGAGCCCGACACTGGCGGCGTCCCCGAGCCCGTCACTGGCGGTGTCCCCGAGCCCGAGCCCGACACTGGCGGTGTCCCTGAGCCCGACACTGGCGGTGTCCCTGACCCCGACACTGGCGGTTTCCCCGATCCCGACACTGGCGGCGTCCCTGAGCCCGACACTGGCGGTGTCCCCGAGCCCGAGCCCGACACTGGCGGTGTCCCCGAGCCCGACACTGGCGGTGTCCCCGAGCCCGTCACTGGCGGTGTCCCTGAGCCCGACACTGGCGGTGTCCCCGAGCCCGACACTGGCGGTGTCCCCGAGCCCGAGCCCGACACTGGCGGTGTCCCCGAGCCCGACACTGGCGGCGTCCCCGAGCCCGACACTGGCGGTGTCCCCGAGCCCGTCACTGGCGGCGTCCCTGAGTCCGAGCCCGACACTGGCGGTGTCCCCGAGCCCGTCACTGGCGGCGTCCCTGAGTCCGAGCCCGACACTGGCGGTGTCCCCGAGCCCGACACTGGCGGCGTCCCTGAGTCCGAGCCCGACACTGGCGGTGTCCCTGAGTCCGACACTGGCGGTGTCCCTGAGTCCGAGCTGGTGTTTCAGGTGCGCGGTGAGCTGGCCCCCGGAGACTGCTCAGCATGAACGCCGGCGTGCGGCAGGTGCGGAGGAACGTCCGCAATGTGGTCCACAACTACACGGACGCCCAGGTACGGAGTGACGTGCGGCAGCCACCGGGGCGCGCGCCGGGAGCAGCCGCTCACCACCGGACCCGCTGCCGCCAGACCACTGACTGCTGACTGACCAGACCCGCTGCCGCCAGACCACTGACTGCTGACTGACCAGACCCGCCGCCGCCAGACCACTGACTGCTGACTGACCAGACCCGCTGCCGCCAGACCACTGACTGCTGACTGACGAGACCCGCTGCCGCCAGACCACTGACTGCTGACTGACCAGACCCGCTGCCGCCAGACCACTGACTGCTGACTGACCAGACCCGCTGCCGCCAGACCACTGACTGCTGACTGACGAGACCCGCCGCCGCCAGACCACTGACTGCTGACTGACGAGACCCGCCGCCGCCAGACCACTGACTGCTGACTGACGAGACCCGCCGCCGCCAGACCACTGACTGCTGACTGACCAGACCCGCTGCCGCCAGACCACTGACTGCTGACTGACCAGACCCGCTGCCGCCAGACCACTGACTGCTGACTGACGAGACCCGCCGCCGCCAGACCACTGACTGCTGACTGACGAGACCCGCCGCCGCCAGACCACTGACTGCTGACTGACGAGACCCGCCGCCGCCAGACCACTGACTGCTGACTGACCAGACCCGCTGCCGCCAGACCACTGACTGCTGACTGACCAGACCCGCTGCCGCCACGCTCCGCAACCGGCCGGCACCGGAAATCCACAGCCAATAGATCGTTTTATGATGCACCATGCATCGCTTTAGCTATAATATGTCCATCAAAAGTTGTCACTAACTCCTGGAGACCTTTCATGACCTGAGATGACCTCAGGGGAATAAAAAGGGGCCACGGGTGCAGTTTTCCGATTCAGTGCGTCATGTTTACCGTTATACAGATGTTTGAGTGCTTAGTACGACTTTCGTTCAAAAGAAGAGCGGAGGCCATTTACACCAACAAAAAAGTCGCCGACTGCAGGTATTTTGAATATTAACTAGTCTCCCACAATTTAATCCAACCTCGCCCAAAAATAACTGATGATGTGAAAATATTTTAGTCATGCTGGCTTACATTATTTTCACATTACTGGCCATTTCTTTTGCGTGGTTGGCGAAATTTTAGGGTACATTTTGGCGAAATATATCCGAAGCTGGCAATTTTTATGTAGGTAAAACTGGCCTCAGTTCAATTTTATCCCATTAACTTACAGCGGAGAGGTCGCAAAATTGACCTGGCCTTAGGTCACCCATATCCGGCTTCCGGGATATTCAGATTTGTTTCGTGCACAGCACCGGCAACCGGTCAGCGTCCACGGTGCCGTGGTCGCTGACTGACTGCCGGTGCTGACTGCCGACTGCCTGCCGGTGCTAACTGCTGACTGACTGCCGGTGCTGACTGCTGACTGACTGCCGGTGCTGACTGCTGACTGACTGCCGGTGCTGATTGCTGACTGACTGCCGGTGCTGACTGACTGCCGGTGCTGACTGACTGCCGGTGCTGACTGCTGACTGCCTGCCGGTGCTGACTGCTGACTGACTGCCGGTGCTGACTGACTGCCGGTGCTGACTGCTGACCGGCTGCCGGTGCCGTGGTCGCTGACGCACTGCCGGTGTTGGCAGGTTAAGGTGCGCGAGGCGACGTCCAACGACCCGTGGGGTCCGTCGTCGACTCTGATGTCGCAGATCGCCGAGTACAGCCACAACATGGTGGCCTTCACCGATATCATGCAGGTCAGTGACCGGACAGACGGGCGGGGCTCCCGGGCCTCAGACACGTGCAGCTGGCGGCCTGTGGATGGGGCGAATCAGCCTGCTTAGGGGTATCTGAGGCTGGAGAGGGGTTTCCTAAGGGTGGTAGGATGTAATTGAGGTAGGGGAGGGGTAGCTGAGGCTGGGGAGGGGTAACTGAGGCTGGGGAGGGGTAGGTGAGGACGTGGAGAGGGTAACTGAGCCTAGGGAGGGATAGCTGAGGCTGGGGAGGGGGTAGCTGAGGCTGGGGAGGGGTAGCTGAGGCTGGGGAGGGGTAGCTGAGGCTGGGGAGGGGTAGCTGAGGATGTGGAGGGGGTAGCTGAGGCTGGTGAGGCGGGAGGGGTAGCTTAGGACGTGGAGGGGGTAACTGAGGCTGGGGAGGCGGGAGGGGTAGCTGAGGAGTGAGGATGTGGAGGGGGTAACTCGGGCTGGGTAGGGGGTAGCTGAGGCTGGGGAGGCGGGAGGGATAACTCGGGCTGGGGAGGGGGTAGCTGAGGCTGGGGAGGCGGGAGGGGATAACTCGGGCTGGGGAGGGGGTAGCTGAGGCTGGGGAGGCGGGAGGGGTAGCTGAGGCTGGGGAGGCGGGAGGGGTAGCTGAGGATGTGGAAGGATAACTCGGGCTGGGTAGGGGGTAGCTGAGGCTGGGGAGGCAGGAGGGGGTAACTTGGGCTGGGGACGGGGTAGCTGAGGCTGGGGAGGCGGGAGGGGGTAGCTGAGGCTGGGGAGGCGGGAGGGGGTAACTCGGGCTGGGGACGGGGAGGGGAGGCGAGGGGTGGTTCCAGGAGACTGACGCACGGAAGCCCTATGCGATGGCGGCCGGTGGGCTGAGGTGAGCCGCGACTGACGGCGCGGGACGGGACGGGGGGGGGAGGGGGAGGGGATCCGCCGGCAGGCCGGGGCAGGCCGAGGCCGGCCCGTCGGCGCCCGGTTGGGCACACTCCTAATGGAATTGTTTCCGTTCCTCTATGCTCGTTTGGCTACTGTGTTAGACGGTGTGGGTAATTCCTAGATTTTTTAGTCTCTTATACCGAAATCCGTACCTATTTAGGTAGATTGTGTTTTGCCAACATTTTCTTGCATCGATCACCCATTAACCCTCGCCGGACCTATTGGTTTTCTACATACGCGCCGGCCGAGGGGGGGGGGGGGCGGGTACGACCCCCCCCTCGCCGTTTCGCCCCTGGTGGAGCTAGCGCGTCGCGGAAAAAAGCGAGCGTGTGCGCCGTTACGAGACGCAGAGATTGGTACCCGATTTTAAGGTCCTAGGTCAACCGGTGACCTCTGAGGTCAGGTCAAGTGCCCCAAGGTACGGTTCAGTTTTTGGTGAATAACTTCGCAAAAAACGGCCGCAGAGCGCCGATTTTGGCAGCATCGTGTTCATCTCGCTCAGGCGCGTCGAATGATATACTTTTTGTCCGGGTCAGGTCAACTTGGGGTGTTGTTCTCAGGTCAAGGTCAGGTCAGCACCCCCAGGTCACGAAGTTGGTCGAAAGAGGTCATGTCGCATATCATTCGATTCGGCAGGTCTTCCTGAGTCCATTGGTGGCTTTCCCGACTCGCTAGCTCAATTTGATCAAGAGTTATTGACGAAAAACTAATATGACCTTGATGACGTCATAAATGACGTCACGCAAGGTCAACATTGCAAAAGTGACGCATCTAACCTTGCAAGGAGTGCATCAAATCACGATTCTGTCTGCTTGAGATAGTTGGAGATCGTTCCCGGTGCCAGAATAGCAGTTTTCATTTTTCCCCATTGACTTATAATGGTGAGGTCACGAAAATGACCTGACCTCATATGACCTTTAGGAAAAATCCGAGATATACAAGTTGTGGGTCTCATAATGGATACTAGATCCTGCAAGTTTCATTTCCCTGTGACATCTCCTCTGGCAGTGAGGGCGTTGCGAAGTTGCGACATCTGAAGACCGTGCAGAGGTTCACTTATGACGTCATAGGTCAGTGACCTGACCTGACCCAAAAATGCGGTTGGTGTCAAAAGATGCGGCTTGGATCAAAGGTCAGGTATGCCAAGTTTCAGCTCTCTATCGCCAGCGTGTTCGGAGCTATCGCGAAAAAAACCTATGGGGGGGGGGCGGCACCCGCCCCCCCCCCTCGGCCGGCGAGGGTTAAGCTATGGGCTTGTTGATGTTTCCATGGAAACCCAAATTGCCACGTGTGCTGGCAGCGTCGGTGAAACACTGCCCGGATGTGCAGAGCAATGTGAACCCTGTACACCGTAGAAGATTGGCTAGGTTTCGCTCTGACGGACCGCTCTGTCTCTGTCAGCTCGCTCTGTCCGCCAGACCCGGTCTGTCAGACCGCTCTGTCAGACCGCTCTGTCCGCTCGCTCTGTCCGCCAGACCCGTCATATCCGTCAGACCCGCTCTGTCCGTCAGACCCGGTCTGTGTGACTCAGAACTCGGACCCGCTCTGTCCGTCAGACCCGGTCTGTGTGACTCATAATTCGGGCCGTCTCTGTACTGTCAGACCCGGTATGTGTGACTCAGAACTCGGACCGTCTCTGTACTGTCAGACCCGCTCTGCCAGACCGCTCTGTCCGCCAGACCCGGTCTGTCAGACCGCTCTGTCCGCCAGACCCGGTCTGTCAGACCGCTCTGTCCGTCAGACCCGGTCTGTGTGACTCAGAACTCGAACCGTCTCTGTAGCGTCCCTGTCCGATAGTGTATCGCGCCGGCCGGCCGGCGGCGCTCTCAGCTGATGGCCGGTGCGCCGCGCCGCTGACCTTTGGGCCGCTGCAGGCCTAGGGTCTGTGTGGGCATATAGTGTGAGTATATGTAATGGTGCGGCCGGCACGCGACATCACACCGGCCGCGTGTCCGGCGCTACCCACAGTCACTGGGACAGCTACTGGGGCAGCGCCTGGGACAGCTACTGGGGCAGCCCCTGGGACAGCTACTGGGGCAGCCCCTGGGACAGCTACTGGGCAGCCCCTGGGATATGGCGGCAGCGACTGGGACAGAGGGACCGTCACTAGGGTTGTAGGAGTTGAACTTTGGGACCGTCATTGTGACGAAGAGGGTGACTGGGACAGGGATCGTAACTGATACTGGGACGGTCACATGGATAGTAGCACGGTAAGTGGGTAAGTGGGACAGGAGACAGTGACTGGGACAGCCTGGGACAGTGAGACAGTGACCGGGACAGGGACTGGGACAGTCTGGGACAGGTGACGGGGACAGCCTGGGACAGTGAGACAGTGACTGGGACAGCCTGGGACAGCGAGACAGTGACTGGGACAGTGAGACAGTGACTGGGACAGTGAGACAGTGACTGGGACAGCCTGGGATAGTGAGACAGTGACTGGGACAGCCTGGGACAGTGAGAGTGACTGGGACAGCCTGGGACAGTGAGACAGGGACAGGGACAGCCTGGGACAGGGACTGGGACAGGGGCTGGACAGTGAGACAGTGACTGGACAGTGAGACAGTGACTGGGACAGTGAGACAGTGACTGGGACAGTGAGACAGTGACTGGGACAGTGAGACAGTGACTGTGACAGTGAGACAGTGACTGGGACAGTGAGACAGTGACTGGACAGTGAGACAGTGAGTGGGACAGCCTGGAACAGTGAGACAGTGACTGGGACAGCCTGGGACAGTGAGACAGTGACTGGGACAGCCTGGGACAGTGAGACAGTGACTGGGACAGCCTTGGACAGTGAGACAGGCACTGGGACAGCCTGAGACAGTGACTGGGACAGCCTGGGACAGCCTGGGACAGGAGAAAGTGACTGGGACAGCCTGGGACAGTGCGACAGTGACTGGGACAGTGAGACAGGGACTGGGACAGCCTGGGACAGTGAGAGTGACTGGGACAGTCTGGGACAGTGAGATAGTGACTGGGACAGCCTGGGACAGTGAGACAGGGACTGAGACAGCCTGGGACAGTGAGACAGTGACTGGGACAGTGAGACAGTGACTGGGACAGTAACTGGGACAGGTGACGGGGAACGGGTGACGGGGTGAGGAGGCCCAGTCGCCAGGAGCAGTTGTCTCAATATTGTTCAGCGGAAAAAATGATACGCTTTGATCACACTCCGGACGCCGCTCACTGCTCAGTCCGGAATGGGAACTCAGTGTGGACCAGCGGTCCCCGATCCAGAACGGATATTCAGTGTGGACGAGAGGCGAAGAGCCGAACCCCACAGAGACCATGGCCGGCTGGGTCAATATGAGTGAAAAGAGTTGTCAGTTGAGCACGGTTCCCTCAGCCTGCCGTGCCGGCGACCGGAGCCACCCCACCCCACAACCACCGGTGTATCCCAGGGGTGGCGGCAGCGGAGGACGCGTGTGCCCTCCGCAGCGCCCGCAATACAACAAAATTACACATCTTAAAATATATTTTTGTATGCTGTTTATCTTTTCGTTTCTGTTTCAACATTTTCTTGAGCAGTAGCTTTCTTTCTAATCCTCTCAAAGAAAATTGACCTTGGCCAGCCTCGGACCGAAGTCCGTGTTGTATCCCGTGTCGCTCACTGATTTACCTACTACTCAGTGACGGCCGGTGCGGCGTCTGCCGGCGGCCCTGTGGCGGCGCGGATCTGGCCGGGCCCGGCTCCGTCCCCGCCCCGCCCCGCCCCGCCGCCTGAGTGACCCAGCCCGCGCGGCGGCGCGCGCCTGGCAGGCCATTGATGAGCCGAGCGCCGGGAGCCGGCCGCCGCGCCCGGAGCGCTGCGCCTGGTGGAGCCGGTGGTGCACAGCGGGCGCAGGCCGTGGCCGCCGCCGCGGGCCGCATCCCGGCCGGACCGGTGTCCTACACTGCGGACAGTGTCGTTGTGTCCGGACACTGCGGACAGTGTCCCGGTGTCCGACACTGCGGACACTGCGGACAGTATCCCGGTGTCCGACACTGCGGACAGTGTCCCGGTGTCCTACACTGCGGACAGTGTCCCGGTGACCTACACTGCGGACAGTGTCCCGGTGTCCTACACTGCGGACAGTGTCCCGGTGTCCGACACTGCGGACAGTGTCCCGGTGTCCGACACTGCGGACAGTGTCCCGGCCGCAGCGGTGCCGGTGGAGCGGTCATTGAGATTCAGCCGCCGCGCCGCACCGGCCGGCCAAGGTCGCCACAGGCACCCGGGGCCGGGCCGGTCACCGGCTGGCTGGGGGGGGGGGGGGGGAGGAGGTGTAGTGCGGCTGGCGTCCCATGTGAGCGGAGCAGGGAGAATGACGAACACGAGGAGGACACTGGGGCGACTGCTGCACGCCGACACTGACTCGGGTGATTGGAGGCAGGGCACTAAAGAGTCGGGTACTCCAAAGTTTTTCCTAGTATATACTAGAATTATACTATATCATCTAGCAAAACAACTAGAACTGGGAGCTTTTACTATATACCGAAAATTATCCTAGGATATGGCTGCGCTGAAGCGCGGCGCAGCTGGCGCTCGTGTTTCAATACATTGCGCTTCATATTTATACACAAGGCGGCCTGTGGTTTCACGCGGTTCCATGGTGTTTTCCCTACATTTAAAGACTTACAAATTGTGCTGGCTAAGTATTTAATAACTATCGTGTGCATTAAAAAATTGGCTCTTCATTATGCATGGAATTGTGTGAACAAAGGCCTTTCTGAGTAACTGCGTACAAATTTGCAAACTGCTGTCCTTGACTGGGTGGTGGGCCAGCCTCATGCTTTCTCATTCTTTCACTGTTGCGTAGCAATGTGTTAAAAAAGAAGTTTCAAGGAATTTTATCAATTGTGATGCATGGCGACACCTTTCGACTTATCTGTGAGCATATTTGGTATAATCGTATTGCAAAGATTGCGTACACCGGCTTTATGTATTTGCAATGGCAGCTTTCGTATGACATTTGTGTATTGTCTTTTCTATGTTGGTCGCTACTCGTTTGTATGTATTTTTAGAGCCCTGACAGGCTGATGAAGGATGACTGAAGTCTTCTGAAAGCTATCATTACTAAGAAATGAAGCTGGTGTTATGAACAGTGAACAGTGTCCCAAAATTTTATTTCAGAGTGAAAAATTGTTCTTGAAAATTGGAGATGAAAGTGGAAAATTGATTTCAGTTGGATGTCACTTCCCACCCAAAACTGGCAAATTTTGGGACATTGGTTTTGAACAAACTTAACAATACAATACCACTGTCCCAGGCTCCAGCTGAATAACATCAACATATAACATAATACTTTGTGTAAGCACCTCGTACAACTGTGTTGCTGCAGATAATGAAATCAAAACACATGCATCCTGCATCCATGAAAGTGGATAGTAAGTAGAAAGAAGCATTTGTTGCCACATGTTAGTGATAATTGTGCAATTTCTTGGTATTTTAAGTTTGTATGAAAACGCGTAAGATTTAGGTGATTGAAACTAAACATGGAAAATTTTTAGGTCAATTTTTAATTTTTCTTTTTTAATGCTGTTCTTGATATTCCACTTCACTCAAAACACACCAGTTCATAAGTTATTTCAGGGCTTTCACAATAGCCATGTCTTTGTGGTCAATCATCCTCAGAGCAGCCTGAGTCAATTCCATTCATGACTTCCTTAGCCATATATCTCTGATCCTTTTTCAGGACAAGACATGCACTACTACATATGCTGTGCCTGGCTCAAGATTCCTATATGTAGCAAGGTTGCCCTACCGACACTGGCAAAATGAATGCTTCCTTGAACAAAGCTAACCAAAGGTGCCATCAACTGTCTTAATCTGAATAGGAAGGAAGCCTAGTTTTCAACATAGACAATGTGACTTTCAGGGTGTGCACCACCCGGTGTTCATTTGTTAACATCAATAATGTGTGACCACGAAAGGAAACCCTTCTGAAGGTAACATCTCTCGACCATTCTAAGATCCTGTCCACTACCTTAATATTAACAGACATTTTAAATAACCATGCATTATTCCTCTGATAATGCTTGTTATGTTTTCAAATAGGTTCATGTTCTTTCATCCTGATTTTTAAAAGATAAGTATCACTTTAGTTTGTTTTTATTGCAAGTGTGACGCATGTAATTTCATCTTCATGTTTTCTCAGATCGAAGATCTTGCTCGCAGCTATGCCTCATTGCCTACCATGGCCAAAACCTCTTTGAGGTTTACTGTAGGTAGTGTTCTCCGTCTGATTGTTATGTGTTGAGGATGAGCTGAATGTTACTGATATTGATACCTGATATCTAATTGTGGTCAATGTTTAGTGTAACACCGTGACATCTTCCAATGCCAAAGTTTATTTCCAACGAGCCAAAGCTTGTTTGCATTGCAATTACGAGCGGTAGTGTGATGTGTGGAACGTGTAGTATGTACGATTGGGAACCACTTACTCTGGTGGCATGTTTGCATATATGAGAATGTTCAGTGTTCATCGTCTTTAGATAATAAAAGCATTGGCATATCAGGAAGTGGATTGTTCGGTGGTCGCCTAAAATGGTATCAGAGCTGCAATTTTGACACCATCGTGTTCGTCATGCTCAGCCACGTCGAATGATATGCTTTTTGTATGGGTGAGGTCAATTTAGGACGTTGACCTCCCTCCAAGGTCAGGTCAGGTCATTACCTCATGATGAGGTCAAGTTGCACGTTATTCAATTTGGCAGGTCTTTCTGAGTCTATTTGTGTGTTTTCCGTCTAAGATCACTGTCAGCGCCAAAATAACTGTCTTTATATCCCCCCCCCCCATCGGCTTATAATTGCCAGATCACCTGGCCGACCTGACGTTAGGTGACCCTTAGGAGAAATCCGAAGTTAACGACTTATGAGAATAAGGGAGTTTGATAAGTTCTGCAAGTTTCATCTACCTGTGATAGATCTCCTTGAATTGATGGAGTTGCTATGTTACGACGTTTTTGAGACCGTGCAGAGGTTCACTTATGACGTCATAGGTCAGTGACCTGACCTGACCTGAAAATGAGGTTGGTGTCACAAAATCCGGCTTGAATCAAAGGTCAGGTATGCCAACTTACAGCCCTCCATCACCAGCGCGCTCACCCCTACTTTACTTTGCAGCAATGGTTTGCCGCGCATTAACGATAAAAGTTTTGGTCTGTCCGAGATTCGAACACAGGACCTTCCGATGTATCAAAAACATGGGGTCATATATGGACGAATATCTCGAAAACGGTTGGATGGGCTTGAACTTTTCATCCCAAAAATGGAAATAAAAATGTTGTAGCTATCTTTTGACATACTTTGTATGTGGATGCCCACACTACGAAACCTTGAAAACCGAGCGCGAAAAGTCGCATTTTAACACGCAACCCTATGGGCTAGTAGGAAAAGTCACGCCCATGCTGCCATATGACTTTGGAGGGGGCTGATTGGAGGCTCTGTCTCGCGGTGGGCGGATCTGCGGCCCTACAATGTCACCAGGGCCGATCTTCAGTCGGGTTATCTCCAGTGGCTGTGCTCGTTTGGTCGCGTTTTATCATGACAACGTTGACGCACACAAGCATTTCATATTTATCTGAAATATTTCCTGTTTGGTTATTTCAGCATCATGTTCGGCAACTGGCCGCCTTTCCTGTTTGAGTGTCCCGTTGTCAGACTGCTAACCTCCGGCGCCTGGCCTGCTGTTGGTGCGGCCGCCGGTGTCACCGGCTGAAGGCAGCGTCGTTATCTTTCGGTCGCCGACCGCTCGTTCGCGCGTGCTCATATACTCTCCCTCCCACCCCCACCCCCACTCCCCCCGGGTGACCGTCCCGTGTCTACTCTCTGCCCCCCCCCGCTGATCCCCCCCAGGTGACATCTCTGCACCCTCTCTGATCGCCCCCCCCCCTCTGTGCCTGTCAGATGATCTGGAGACGTCTGAACGACCACGGCAAGAACTGGCGGCACGTGTACAAGGCGCTCGTGCTGATGGACTACCTGATCAAAACGGGCAACGAGCGGGTGGCCCAGCAGTGCCGCGAGAATATATTCGCCATCGAGACTCTGAAGGACTTCCAGCACTACGAGGAGAACACGGACCACGTGGGTGGCGCCCGGCGGGACGGGACAGTCGGGAGGGGAGACGGGACAGTCGGGGGCGGGCCGGGACCTGTCCTGAATCTCACACTGTATACATAGTGCATGGAGCTTCATCAGTCGAAATATAGTAAACCAGTATAACGCCTTTTGGGGCGACTAACGGAGCGAGCGAGAGGGTGAGCCTTGCACGTGCGAAATTTCGAGGGGGTACCTCCAGCTGACTTGTGCACGGCACCCTACTAACCGATCTCTAGCGATGTACCAAATTTGAGCACAATCGGCCCAGCCGTTCTCGAGATCTGGAAGCGGCACCCTGCACGTGCGCACGTGCAAAATGGGTCCCAACTGACTTTTGCACGGCACCCTTCTAACCGGTCCCTAGCCATGTACCAAATTTGAGCGCCATCGGTCCAGCCGTTCTCGAGATCTGGAATCGACCCCTGCACGTGCGCACGTGCAGCAGCACCCCAACTCAGGCACATGGATTTGCATTGCCTAGTGGGTGCCTACCTGAATGCCAACTTTCAGCGCAATCGGCCAAGTAGTTACCGAGATATTGCAACAATTACAAAAGTGACACCTCTTCGTTTTGCACGTGGCACGTGCATAAGGGGTCACCCACATGCATCGGGAATAGTCCAATACTTGGTAGAAGGAATGAAGCTACCCTACAAAAATTACCGCATATAAATCGGTCAAGTGGTTGCTGAGATATAAGCGTCGCAGAATCGTGACCACGGCCGGCCGGCCGGCCGGCCGGCCGCTCATACTCAGAAATTTCCGTTATTCTACGTAAGACTCCGCTCGCTTCGCTCGCTCCGTAATAACAAATAAATTCACTTCAAATCTGATGCGTGACTATGATGACTGAAAGATGATTGAACCCTCTGACTGCTGACAGCCGACCTGGTCCCTGCCATCTGACTGCTGTGACTGACTTCTGACCTAACTCCTGACCCCTGCCATCTGACTGCTGTAACTGACTTCTGACCTGACTCCTGACCCCTGCCATCTGACTGCTGTAATGTAACTGACCGCTGACCGCTGCCCTGTGCGCTCTACGCTGTGCAGGGTCGCGCGATCCGTGAGCGCGCCAAGCAGCTGGTGTCGCTGCTGCAGGACGACGAGAGGCTGGCTCAGGAGCGGCAGAGGGCGCTCAAGGCGCGCGACCGCTTCCTGGAGAGCAGCCAGAGCGCCGGCGCCGCGGTGAGAGGGGGGGAGGTGAAAGGGGCCCTCTGCAGTTCTCTGAACTGTTAAGTTCTATTTGTTTACAAACCTCACTATTGTTTGAGGTTTATTCCAACGCACCGCGACCTACATAACAGACTGTTTGGTCAGGCGCACAGTTGTTACACTTGCCTCAGCTGTTGCCTTCTAACGGTACTGCTGCCACTAATGCTGGATGGATGCTGATCTGCGAACAGCGCCGTACCGCCGCCTGTCCCTGTCTGCCAATGGCCCTTCTGAGGCCGCCTGTCCCTGTCTGCCAATGTCGCCCGTCCGAGGCGCCTGTCCCTGTCTGCCAATGTCCCTTCTGAGGCCGCCTGTCCCTGTCTGCCAATGGCCCTTCTGAGGCCGCCCGTCCCTGTCTGCCAATGTCGCCCGTCCGAGGCGCCTGTCCCTGTCTGCCAATGGCCCTTCTGAGGCCGCCTGTCCCTGTCTGCCAATGGCCCTTCTGAGGCCGCCCGTCCCTGTCTGCCAATGTCCCTTCTGAGGCCGCCCGTCCCTGTCTGCCAATGTCCCTTCTGAGGCCGCCTGTCCCTGTCTGCCAATGGCCCTTCTGAGGCCGCCTGTCCCTGTCTGCCAATGTCGCCCGTCCGAGGCGCCTGTCCCTGTCTGCCAATGGCCCTTCTGAGGCCGCCTGTCCCTGTCTGCCAGTGTCCCTTCTGAGGCCGCCTGTCCCTGTCTGCCAATGGCCCTTCTGAGGCCGCCTGTCCCTGTCTGCCAATGTCCCTTCTGAGGCCGCCCGTCCCTGTCTGCCAATGTCGCCCGTCCGAGGCGCCTGTCCCTGTCTGCCAATGGCCCTTCTGAGGCCGCCTGTCCCTGTCTGCCAATGGCCCTTCTGAGGCCACCCGTCCCTGTCTGCCAATGTCCCTTCTGAGGCCGCCTGTCCCTGTCTGCCAATGGCCCTTCTGAGGCCGCCTGTCCCTGTCTGCCAATGTCGCCCGTCCGAGGCGCCTGTCCCTGTCTGCCAATGGCCCTTCTGAGGCCGCCTGTCCCTGTCTGCCAATGTCCCTTCTGAGGCCGCCTGTCCCTGTCTGCCAATGGCCCTTCTGAGGCCGCCTGTCCCTGTCTGCCAATGTCCCTTCTGAGGCCGCCTGTCCCTGTCTGCCAATGTCGCCCGTCCGAGGCCGCCAGATATGGCCCGTCCGAGGCGCCCGTCCCTGTCTGCCAGTGTCGCCTGTCCCTGTCTGCCAATGGCCCTTCTGAGGCGCCTGTCCCTGTCTGCCAATGGCCCTTCTGAGGCCGCCTGTCCCTGTCTGCCAATGGCCCTTCTGAGGCCGCCCGTCCCTGTCTGCCAATGTCCCTTCTGAGGCCGCCTGTCCCTGTCTGCCAATGGCCCTTCTGAGGCCGCCTGTCCCTGTCTGCCAATGTCGCCCGTCCGAGGCGCCTGTCCCTGTCTGCCAATGTCCCTTCTGAGGCCGCCTGTCCCTGTCTGCCAATGGCCCTTCTGAGGCCGCCCGTCCCTGTCTGCCAATGTCGCCCGTCCGAGGCGCCTGTCCCTGTCTGCCAATGGCCCTTCTGAGGCCGCCTGTCCCTGTCTGCCAATGGCCCTTCTGAGGCCGCCCGTCCCTGTCTGCCAATGTCCCTTCTGAGGCCGCCCGTCCCTGTCTGCCAATGTCCCTTCTGAGGCCGCCTGTCCCTGTCTGCCAATGGCCCTTCTGAGGCCGCCTGTCCCTGTCTGCCAATGTCGCCCGTCCGAGGCGCCTGTCCCTGTCTGCCAATGGCCCTTCTGAGGCCGCCTGTCCCTGTCTGCCAGTGTCCCTTCTGAGGCCGCCTGTCCCTGTCTGCCAATGGCCCTTCTGAGGCCGCCTGTCCCTGTCTGTCAATGTCCCTTCTGAGGCCGCCTGTCCCTGTCTGCCAATGGCCCTTCTGAGGCCGCCTGTCCCTGTCTGCCAATGTCCCTTCTGAGGCCGCCCGTCCCTGTCTGCCAATGTCCCTTCTGAGGCCGCCTGTCCCTGTCTGCCAATGTCGCCCGTCCGAGGCGCCTGTCCCTGTCTGCCAATGTCCCTTCCGAGGCCGCCTGTCCCTGTCTGCCAATGTCGCCCGTCCGAGGCGCCTGTCCCTGTCTGCCAATGGCCCTTCTGAGGCCGCCTGTCCCTGTCTGCCAATGGCCCTTCTGAGGCCACCCGTCCCTGTCTGCCAATGTCCCTTCTGAGGCCGCCTGTCCCTGTCTGCCAATGGCCCTTCTGAGGCCGCCTGTCCCTGTCTGCCAATGTCGCCCGTCCGAGGCGCCTGTCCCTGTCTGCCAATGGCCCTTCTGAGGCCGCCTGTCCCTGTCTGCCAGTGTCCCTTCTGAGGCCGCCTGTCCCTGTCTGCCAATGGCCCTTCTGAGGCCGCCTGTCCCTGTCTGCCAATGTCCCTTCTGAGGCCGCCCGTCCCTGTCTGCCAATGTCCCTTCTGAGGCCGCCCGTCCCTGTCTGCCAATGTCCCTTCTGAGGCCGCCTGTCCCTGTCTGCCAATGTCGCCCGTCCGAGGCGCCTGTCCCTGTCTGCCAATGTCCCTTCCGAGGCCGCCTGTCCCTGTCTGCCAATGTCGCCCGTCCGAGGCGCCTGTCCCTGTCTGCCAATGGCCCTTCTGAGGCCGCCTGTCCCTGTCTGCCAATGGCCCTTCTGAGGCCACCCGTCCCTGTCTGCCAATGTCCCTTCTGAGGCCGCCTGTCCCTGTCTGCCAATGGCCCTTCTGAGGCCGCCTGTCCCTGTCTGCCAATGTCGCCCGTCCGAGGCGCCTGTCCCTGTCTGCCAATGGCCCTTCTGAGGCCGCCTGTCCCTGTCTGCCAGTGTCCCTTCTGAGGCCGCCTGTCCCTGTCTGCCAATGGCCCTTCTGAGGCCGCCTGTCCCTGTCTGCCAATGTCCCTTCTGAGGCCGCCCGTCCCTGTCTGCCAATGTCCCTTCTGAGGCCGCCTGTCCCTGTCTGCCAATGGCCCTTCTGAGGCCGCCTGTCCCTGTCTGCCAATGTCCCTTCTGAGGCCGCCTGTCCCTGTCTGCCAATGGCCCTTCTGAGGCCGCCTGTCCCTGTCTGCCAATGGCCCTTCTGAGGCCGCCTGTCCCTGTCTGCCAATGGCCCTTCTGAGGCCGCCTGTCCCTGTCTGCCAATGTCGCCCGTCCGAGGCGCCTGTCCCTGTCTGCCAATGGCCCTTCTGAGGCCGCCTGTCCCTGTCTGCCAGTGTCCCTTCTGAGGCCGCCCGTCCCTGTCTGCCAATGGCCCTTCTGAGGCCGCCTGTTCCTGTCTGCCAATGTCGCCCGTCTGAAGCCGCCTGTCCCTGTCTGCCAATGTCTCTTCTGAGGCCGCCTGTCCCTGTCTGCCAATGGCCCTTCTGAGGCCGCCTGTCCCTGTCTGCCAATGTCTCTTCTGAGGCCGCCTGTCCCTGTCTGCCAATGGCCCTTCTGAGGCCGCCTGTCCCTGTCTGCCAATGGCCCTTCTGAGGCCGCCTGTCCCTGTCTGCCAATGGCCCTTCTGAGGCCGCCTGTCCCTGTCTGCCAATGGCCCTTCTGAGGCCGCCTGTCCCTGTCTGCCAATGTCCCTTCTGAGGCCGCCCGTCCCTGTCTGCCAATGGCCCTTCTGAGGCCGCCTGTCCCTGTCTGCCAATGGCCCTTCTGAGGCCGCCTGTCCCTGTCTGCCAATGGCCCTTCTGAGGCCGCCTGTCCCTGTCTGCCAATGGCCCTTCTGAGGCCGCCTGTCCCTGTCTGCCAATGGCCCTTCTGAGGCCGCCTGTCCCTGTCTGCCAATGGCCCTTCTGAGGCCGCCCGTCCCTGTCTGCCAATGGCCCTTCTGAGGCCGCCTGTCCCTGTCTGCCAATGTCGCCCGTCCGAGGCGCCTGTCCCTGTCTGCCAGTGTCCCTTCTGAGGCCGCCTGTCCCTGTCTGCCAATGGCCCTTCTGAGGCCGCCTGTCCCTGTCTGCCAATGTCGCCCGTCCGAGGCGCCTGTCCCTGTCTGCCAGTGTCCCTTCTGAGGCCGCCTGTCCCTGCCGGCGGCGCACTGTGGGGGCGTTGCCCCTGCTAGCACGAGTTTACTCCTGCGGCGGTACGCCGCAGTCAGCTGACCGCGCCGCGCCTCCGGGCAGCGCGGCGGAACGCTGGGACCCACGCGACATCGTCTCGTAGTAGCTGTTTGGGCAAAATTAGGCAAAAGATACGAGTTGATTCCAATGCAGAATTTAGGGGATAATATTTTCATATGTGTTTCCACACGTAACACCGCGTAACTCACTTTGTAAGGCTATGATTTGCCGAGTCAAATCTCCGAGACAAGTGGCGTATTATATTTTTTTGTATTTCATTAAAAAAAACATGCCTTTGGATTATTTTTCGAACTTTTCATGCATATGCTCATATTCCTCATTAAATACATATTATAAAAACATGTCGCAATATCGAATTGGTGCTTGATTAAACGAGTGAGCAGGCGTTCCGTTGTCATGTAATTTTCCGCCTTATCCTAGGAGCACGATGCTAGTCAGCGCAACTCTTCACTTTTTGACGTATTTTGATGTGTAAGTCATCACTTTTAAAGCAATTTAAGGTCGGATTCGGATACACTGGACAATTCTGCGAAGAAAGGATATAAGGAAAATGGAAATCAAAATACTCGTAATTCGTATTTGCCACTTGTGTCGTGCTAGGATCGCAAAAGTCCCCACGGTGCGGCGTCTGTCCTGTCTGATCTGGCCACCAGAGCCCCTCAGCCGTCCGCGGTGGTGGCCAGCGCTGTCCCGGGGCTGCTGGGCTGGCCACATTCTATCGTTCCCCGTCCACCGTTCCCCCCCCCCCCTCGTCCCCCGTCCACCGCCCCCGTCCACCGTCCACCGTCCACCGTCCACCGTCCACCGCCCCAAACCAGCGTCCACCGCCTCCAGTGCCCTGTCCCCTGTCCACCGTTGCAGTGCCCCCGCCCCGCTGCAGCTCAGTGCCTGTGTCAGTGAGTTCACTGACCCGCCGCCTGTCCCCGTCTGCCAGTCCGCGGCGGCCGACCCCCCACCCCCTCACCCACCGTCCGCCGTTCAGAGACCGCCGCCGCTCGGCGCACTGTGTCCCCGTCTGCACCGCCTGTGCAACCGCCGTGTGTGCCACAGCCGCCCTGTGTGCCGTGCCGTGCTGTGCTGTGCTGTGCCGTGCCGTGCTGTGCTGTGCTGTGCTGTCGGCCTGTGTGTGGGCCCGGCGTCCTTGCCGACTCCCCGCCCTCTCTGCTTACAGGACGCCATGTCTCCGACCAGCCCGGGCGAGGTGAGGAACGCGCTGCCGGCCTGTACAGGGTACAGGGTACACGGCACCGGCCAGTGCTGGAAATGAGGCCGCTTTCTGGTCCCGGCCTTTTATTCTCCGGGTGGATTAACCCCGTCTAGCGCTTAGCCTTTCGGGACCCGCTCAGAGCCGCGGTTGTTTTCGCCGCTCGGCCCTTTCGAAATGCAAAGTTGATAGTCACACGAAGTTTATTTGGGGCCTCTGAAAATGCGAATTCGAAATTAATCGATTTTATAAAACATTTTTCTTTCATCTACATGCATACACTTAACATTATCTCCAGACTAAGCTGGTTTGGCTGGCCCTAAATAAGCTTCGTGTGACTATTAACTTTGCATCTCGACTGGGGCGAGCGGCGAAAACAACCGCGACCCTGAGTGGGTCCCGAAAGGCTAAACGCTGAACGGGGGTAATCCACCCGGAGAATAAAACGCCGGGACCAGAAAGCGGCCTCATTTCCAGCACTGGCACCGGCCCTGTACAGGGTACATCATACCGTGTACAGGGTGCCGCACGGCCAGCACGTGGCCGGGGAACGTCGACGGGGTGTGGGGACCCTGACACTGGGTGCAGGGACCTCACAATGGGTGTAGGGACCTGGCACTGGGTGAAGGGACCTCACAATGGGTGTAAGGACCTGACACTGGGTGTGTTGGGACCCTAACACTGGGTGTAGGGACCCTAACACTGGGTGTATGAACCCTGACACTGGGTGTAGGAACCTGACACTGGGTGTAGGGGCCTGGCACTGGGTGTAGGGACCTGGCACTGGGTGGAGGGACCTGAGAGCGGAGGGTGGGCACGCACTGTGTGGTGAGACTGAGTTCAGCGGGCCTGGGAGGCGCGGCACGCACTGTGTGGTGGGGGTGAGGTCAGCGGGCCTGGGAGGCGCGGCACGCACTGTGTGGTGGGGGTGAGGTCAGCGGGCCTGGCAGGCGCCTGCTGAGGGGCGCTGATTTAGTCAGTGCAGTTATTGACACTGCGCAGAGGACACAGTCCGCCAGTGACAGACATCTCCCATTTCGTGTAGTACGGTAACTCGGAGAACGACCAGACGCATTGCCGTTACGGTGACGTTGTCCATGATAAGTGCATCGTGCCTATTGCCACCCACCTCACTGATTGCGTCTCGTGGTATGGGTATTGGGTAACATGGCCCCGGCATCTCCGGTACGGCAAGGACAACAGACAACAGACAG